CTCGCCGCCCCCGCACGCCCGCCAGCCGCGGCGACCGCCGCAGCCCGTTGCCCCTCCGGGCGCCTAGGCGAGCTGCCTTCTGACAACCCCAAAACGCCATCACCATGCCCCTGATACCCGCGCAGACGTGGAGGCCCCCCCCCACCAGACCCCAAACACTCACCGACCGACAGGTGCTCCGCCGCGCTGAGATCCCACTGTCCTGGGCCGATCTTCTTATCCCAGGACCGCCTCTGCAGCAGCAGCCGCCCCGCCTGGTCAAACACCCAGACGTACACCGCCCTGTGCAGCAGGCCGCGCCGGTGGATCTCGCCGCGAAGCTCGCGCCCGATGACTACGCAGCCGTCATCGACAACCTCTAGCACTTCCTGCTCGGGCTCAGCCGCGGGCTTGTCGACCGCCGCCGGCGCCGCGGGCGCGGCCGGCCGCTCCAATTCCGCTGCGGCCGCAGACATGCTAGTGCGCGCTGCGTTGCCAACGAGAGGAGGACACTGGATGAGCCTAACCTGCGCGGCAGCACCTGCCGAGGCCGACCGACTAGCCCGGCCGCCTGCCCGGCGGCGGCGCCGCCGCTGCCGCCGCCTCCTCCGCGCGCGCCGCCGCGGCGCTCAGCGCGCCGCACCGCGCCCGCAGCGCGGCCGAGCGCTCCGACACCTCGAGCAGCAGCGCGGGCAGCGCTGCGGCGTCGCGCAGCGCAGCGTTGAGCGCGCGCAGGCGCTGCAGCTGCAGGCGCAGGTGGCGGAGGGCCTTTGCTGCTTTTGCCTCGGCCTGGTCTATGGTGCGATTGAGGTAGTCCTGGTTGGACGCCGCGGCGCGCGCGCGCTGCGGCGGGGAGGGAGGAGGGAGCGGCGATCGCAGCGGAGTGGGCACGGGCGCGGAGGGAGCTCCTGGGGGCGGGCCAGGCTTGAGCGTGGCTTCAGGAGACAGGCGATTTTGACGAGGCGAGCCTGCATAAAGACACACAAATGCAGCCACGTGCAAGCGGCCGACGAGCATGCACACAGAGGCCGCGCATGGACGCGTGGAGATGTACACGCAACCCAGCACATGCGTGCACACGCGTGCAGGTGCCCACCCCTGAGTGCCACTCGCGGTACGCGCCCAGCAGGTCTGACACCGCCGCCGTCAGCTCCTGGGTGTCGGCGCCCAGCTGCTTCGCGGACTCTATGTCGCGCCAAACGCTTGAGGGGTCCGCCTTGCCAATGCGCGTCTCGACGTCGGGCACGAGCGCGCGCAGCGCCAAGAGGTGCGAGAGCAGCTGATCGGTGTCAGCGGCGCCGCCGAGCCCCGATCTGGGACCGCGAGGGGCGCTGCGCGTGGATACCGTGACGATGCCCTGCTGTTGAGCCGCTCCTGCCTGCTTGCTCTCGCCCGCGCCCATGCACGGCACTCCGCTCTGATCTGATCAGAGATGTGCGGGGCACAATTCGCTTTCACCTATGCGGTATCTGTACGCCAAACCTGAGGTCACACGTCTCATCTCCCGAACCACAGGGTCACCCGTCTCCACCAGCGCTGGTCAACTGATCAACCCAATTGCGCCGTTGTTCCACTGTGCGACAAGCGTCGCCATGTGTTTCTGGTCAAGCAAAGAATTGAACTGGGGAGAAAGCCGGTCTTCGGCGTTAACTGCAACACCCGGACACCAATGTCCTGACTGCCCAGGTGTTGATATGATTCGCATAGGATGTGCCTCAGACATCTTCGTAGCAGTATCATTCTGCCACGAGTCTGGATGAATCCAGGCACATAACAGAATGATACCGGATTTCTGCAGCATCTGTCCACTCTGCTACCAACCTATTAAGCAGCGCCCCATCTCAAATCAGCGCAGGCCTTACTGGCCCCTGTGATGCAGAGGGGATGGATGCATAGATCTTGAACAGCCACGTGCATTAGCTTTAACACGAGCATAACTTTTCACGCATGTTTTGGCTTTGCCAGACCAGGCCTGACATGGGTCCTGAGCTTCTGGCTGCTTCTCTCGTGAAGTTGACCTGTGGACCACATGTCACATCTGTTGCCTGCACGCTCCAAGAACGCTCGGGATATTGCACGATCTTAGTTGTTCAGGTACACATCAGTACCTCATTTTGATTTCGGCTCCCATTGTGGCCAAGTGGGTGTTGACCCATCATGACGCAGCATCAGCAGTGACCTTTGCCCTTGGATTGCTGCGCCCGGCCTCGCTGTGGAACTGCGGGAACCTAGGAACTGAGAATCATGTTCGGTCATTCCAGAATTACGGCATCTCTTCGTTTGTATTTTTGTGAACCTCGGCTTGGCTGTTGTTGATCTCCTTGTCCCAGCGTGACGACCCTTCAGCAGGCACAATGGAGCGCCCCGGCAAAATTCTCCTTGCCTTCTTGGTCGTTGTCGGCTCTGTGAGCGCGGCCCATGCAGGTCAGGGGCCAAAGGCGATGTACGATGACGTCGTCGCTCAGCTCGAGCTGATTCGTCAACCGCCATCCCTCGTGGCAAGCAGCGGCGAATGAATTGTTTTCGATGAGGCAACAGAAAGCCCGCTCAGCACCCCCACCTCCCGCTGCTGCGCCGCCCCTTGCAACGCCAGGCAGTTCCCATCGTCGCCTGCTGCAGGTGTGGCATCTTAAATTGTGCTGGTGTTTTGGGGGAATACCTCGCCAACTTATAACGCACCAATGCACGCGCACTCTTTTGGACGGGCGCACTGACCCGCGCCCGCCTCACTCTTCACCTCGCTCGCCGTCCTCCTGCCTGCATACTGTTCATGGCGCCCAACTGTCCATCCCGAACGCATCCCAAACAGGACACGCCCGCGAGCGGCGCCGACAACACCGCCCCGAACGCCGGCGGCACGAACACCACCGGCAATGAAACCGGCGCGGTGGTTTTGGTGGCGGTCCAGCCCGTCGTGCAGGTCAGGCGCGGCGTCGCTCTTACACCTGTCGCCGTGCTGGTCCCAGAAAATGAGACGGCCACCACTGAAGAAAGGTGCGCATGAGCGAGGCCTGGCGGTTTTGCGGTGCGTCTGGCGGGGTTTGGTCAGTGCGTGCCTTGCTGTGATCAAGTGGATTGTGTCAGATAATCATGAGGCCATACTGTGGTTGAATATGAGCCAAGGTACGCTTGACATCAGCCGGCTCCTTTCAGGCCTGTGTGCCCCAAGAAAAAAAAGACGGTCCTCCCGCTGCTGCCGGCTCGCGGCCTGCTGGGCTAGTGCAACTTTTGATCAGCATTTTTGTGCTGTGGCTTGCTGCCGGCGACCGTGCAGCCATCGCACCAATCTTTGTTCTCTGCTGCTCTCCTGAACACCCCGCTGCCCGCTGTGCCCCGCGCCGTTCATGCAGCCCCGCCCCCGGCTCCCCGGCAACCGAAACCGGCGCGTCCCCAGCCACCGGCGCCGCGACGACTGCCGCCAGCCCGTCACCTGCCGCTGAGGAAAGTGCATCCCCGTCGCCCACCCCATCTCCCGCCTCCGCCACGCCGAGCGCGGGCGGCGCAAGGAGGTGCGTCGCAATGGCTGTGCGTCGTACGTGGGCACGGCTGCCAGCTGGCGCCTCTGCGAACTATCAAATCTCGCTACCGTGTGATGCGTCATTGATGCTTACGCGCACCTTGAGCTGCACACCCCAGGGGCCGTGCGAGGCGTGGTCGCCTCGCTTGTTGTTGCGACAACACCCGGTTAACTCAAGCACAACAGCTGGCAAGTGCCACACTGCTCGCCCGCTATATCAACAGGCGCCTGGCCCAGGCCGCCACCGCCGAGCCGTACACCGCCGCCACTGTGCCCCCCGCGCCCGAGGCGTCCGCCGCGCCGCAAGCGCTTGCGGCGGCTGCCCCGCCACCAGTGTCGCCCGCGGCCGCCGCATCCGCCCCTGTATCCACAGTCGTCGTGGCGCCGCCAGCGGCCTCCCCGGCTGCGCCCAACGCCACAGAGACGACGGCGCCCGGGAACGTCACGACCGGGCCGGCTGAGGCAGCGACCAGCAGCCCGTTGCCGCCCGCAGCTGGGCAGACTGGCGCTGAGGCGAGCCCCGCCGCTCCTGCTCCTACAGAAACCGGCGCTGCAACAGCAACCCCCAGCCCGCCTGCCGCGGCCGCAACCCCGGCCCCAGCCACGCCCACCGCCCCACCCACGGCCACTGCCGCGAGCGGCTCTGCAACACCTGCTGGGGCGCCTGAGGCCAGCACTAGCCCTGAAGCGACCGGCGCTACCCAGCCCTGAAGAGGTGAGTGGGCCATTGATGCTGGTTCTGGAAGCTGGCTGCTCGCTGCTCGGCCTCAGTTGCTCTGCAGCTTCCCGGTGCTGGAACCACCCGCTGGCAGTCGCTGCTGGGCGGGTCTCCAACGTTCAAATTGGCCGTGTCGTGCATACAGATATGTAGGTCTGCGTGTATGTGCTTGAAAAGGTGCGCCTTGCACGACTGCTCCACCCCAACCTCTTGCGCAGGCGGCTGCCAAGTGCTGCCTGCCTGACAGGGCAGCTGCCTGGCCCTGCTATTACCAGCCGTTGCGGCGGCCGCGCTGCGGAGCACGCCGGCCATCGCGTTGCGGCGCCCAGCATGTCCTCACCCGTGGTGCGGCGGCGCTTGATTGCGCAGCTGCCGGAGCTCTGCATGTCATGGCAGGGGCGGGGGGCTTGCATAATAGTGCGTGTTTCATGTGCATCATGGGATCCTGTGTTCACCATTGCCTGCACAGCGATCGACGAAGGCCGCCGCTGAGCTCAGGGGAACGCTTGAAGGGTTTAAAAGCACAGGGGTACACCGTCCACTGCCGCATCACACCCCAACCTTGCTGCCAAGCTTCTGCGTTGGACAGGGGCTTGCAGTATCCAAACTCTGGACACACAGCAGCCTTTGAGTGTACACGTGCAGGGAGAACGCCATCAGCCTGGGCTGCGGGAGCAGCCCAGGCTGATGGTCAGGCATCATCGATTGAATCGATGATGCCTGACCATCTCGTAGTAAAGCTGCTTTGTGATGCAGATTTTGGGGTGATCGCACGCCCTCTTTCGTTCAGCACGGATGTGGGGACTTGTGTACTTTAAGAACTGCTGCACAACGCGCTAGAAGTTGAGAGCAGCTTGCTTGCTCTAATCCCCCACATCGGTTGCAAGTAGGGTAAACAAAGTGTCTGCTGTCCTGGAGGCTCAACACAGCAGGCTTGTTATCAGCAAGCACCTGTCTCAAGCGAGGGCGCCGCACGGTCATGGCTTTGTGAAAAGATGTAGCACGCTCGCATCACAGGCAGCAGCGGGCGACCTGTGAAATGTAGGGGGTAGAGGGGCAGGCGGCATCAGCTGCAACCCTGGCCCGTTGCATCCCTGTGGATGCTGGGTCAGGCAAACATGGGCCTCAACCTGCAGCCCTCCCGGTAGTATGATAATCATTTTCTGCGTGCATGCTGGAAAACCCATCTCAACTAGGAACATTCTCTTGGGTTGAGCTGTTGGGCAAACTTAATATCAATGTCAACCAACCGCTTTCAGAGGCCAGCACCCCTGGTCCGCGGTCCCACTGATGCAAGAGCCTGCTGATACGGCAACAAGCACGACCTCTCTCAGGGGCGGGGATAGGATACTAAAAACCATTCGGATTATGAATACGGGACTATCTCCGCCTATCATGGGGCATAACCTGGTGTCATTAGTCAGTCAGGCTCACCGTGGTCGGGTGAGCAGGTGGCCCCGCGGGATCAGCCAGTTTTTGACGCGAAGATGCAAAATGTCTGCTTAACCACAACTTACTTGTTGTGTTTGAGGTCGCACTGAGGCAGCCGCAGGCACGGTCCAACAACGAAGCCACCGACCTTCGGTCGACTTCGAGTGTGCTGAGCACGTGAAAAGAAGGCTGTGTCAGGATGAGAGTCCTCTGCGCCGTGGCACTCCTAGCTGCCGCTGCGGCGGCGGCCACTGCGGCGGAGGCCCCGAAGGTGTCATTTGCGCGGGCGGCGTTCAATTCCCTGTCGCCGCAGGCCCTCGCCGCCAGGGCCAAGGCATTCAACCTGGACGCTAGCACCCTCACCGAGCTGGTCACAAACGAGGAGGTGGCCTACTCCCCAGGGCAGGGGACCCTCTTCTACAAGAACTGCCGCAAACACGACCCCGCCACAGCCACCAGGCCGCCGACCACGCCGGCACCCGCCACCGCCGCACCCCAAACCCGCGATCTGGTGGCCCCGGGCACGGCAGATCCCGCCTTGTCAGAGGTTTTCAAGCTTCACAGGTAGAGACCCCACAGCAACCTCGTGCGCACGCGTCGGTGACCACTGCCCCGCTACAACCGCCCCCTGCGTCTGGACCAGGCCGGCGTGCACGCGCGCGCTCCGCCTGTGCAAGCCTTGTCAGGACCACTGCACGGCGCCTGCACACAATGCCCTGCCCCCTCTTGCAGGAACTGCAATGCGCCGCGCCCGTTTGACCGTGTCACTCGATTGTTCCCTGTGCCTGCCCCACGTGCCATGTCTGACCCTGGGATTACCAAGCCTGTCCAACGCCACCTCGTGTGCACTCAATGCCCCATGCGCTGCGTGCCTGCCCAACGATTTCCCCCTCTACGCAGCCGCCCCGGCGCAGCCAGAGTCCTGTACCTGGATTTCAATGGTAAATCTGTCGCTTTGGCGGTCTGATCGCGAGGGCAGGCACATGCTGTCGTCTGAGGCGCGTGCGCAGCGGAGATGCTTGCCCATCGTCCAGCGCCGGCCACGACCTGTCTAACCGGCCGGCTGTGAGTGTCAGTGCCCCGCCTTGTACCTTGCAAAATGCACCCCGCACCGCCCCGTTGCACTCCTCAGGACACACGACCACTGGGACCGCATGGGCGAGGTCGCAGTGCAACACTCCTGCCATCTGCTTCAATCGTACCAACCAGTACCCGCCTTCATTTTTCAACAAGGCGTTCTCATTGGATGCGGACGAGGCCACGTTCAACGATGCGGAAAAGGACGCAATCATTAAGATATGGGCGGGCGTCTCCGAGGACTACTCAATTTTTGATGTGGATGTCACCACCGGTTCGTGCGTGTGTGTGTGTGTGTGTGGTGTGCGTGTGTGTGTGTGTGTGTGTGCGTGTGTGCGCGTGGTTGCGTGCGTGCGCACGGGTGGAAGCTCGTTTCTATTCATCTCCAGGATGTGCGCATATGTGTGTATGTGTGTGCGTGTGTGTGTATATGGGTGTGTGTGTGCGGGTGCATGAGTGTGCATGTGGACATGTCGCATTGTTCACGACCAGGTCTTCGTCAGCTTTGCTCAACTTGATGCCTTCAGCATGCACCCAAGTCGACACCACCCAAACACAACGCCTCGCACCTTCCTTCCCGAATGCGTGAATGGCAGAGGAGCCCACCTTCTCTTTGGCTGGCGGCAAGGGGATGCGCGCGGTCATCGGTGGAAGCTCAGGCGATTGTGGGTGCCCTGACTGCTGTGCACTGCAGTTGTTACTTATCATTCTAGGCGCCGCAGAGCCCCTTGAGTGCAGCGGCGCATCAGGCTGATGTTGCTAGATGCACCTGTGGGGATGTGTTGGATTCCCGTCGATACCCCGCCTTTCTGTGGTCATGGCCCGCCTCTCAGCATGCTCACTTGTGCAGCCATGTGGGTTTAGGCATGCTGTGGTGCAAAACCGCCGCACACACAATGGCATGCGGCGCCCTGCAGGGTTCAAGGAGTCTGCAACGGGCGTGTGCAACCTCAACAGCTTCGGGGACGGCTCGTCGGGCTCCGGCCTGCCAGCCCTGGGCAACGAGGTGGCACCCTGGTGGGCAATCAAGCGCGTCCCACAAGGACCTATCGTCGCCAGTTGATGCTAGCCGCCTCCCTCGGCAGCTGCTGGCAGTTTGGTGCATGGATATCCCCCCCTTCCCTCTCTTGTCTTGTGTACAAGTACAGTAGCGCTGGATTGTGCACACATGTGCGCACTTGCGCGCACACACACACACACACACACACACACACACACACACACACACACACTCACACACACATCGCGCGTGTGCACACATACACGTGTACACACACACTCACACTCACACACAAACACGCTACCCTCCTGGTCGCAGCTTCATCTTTGCCAAAGACTGCAGAGATGAGGTCAACGAGATCATCGAAACCATCTCGTGAGACTAGATCACATCAGTGTCGCAGGATGGCTTGTCCGTTGCCCCTCTCAGGGTGATCGAGCGTACCCACATGTGTCCAACCCCATCTCTTCAACGCAATGCACAGTATTAGTGTCTACACCACCCTGTACATATAGGGTTGGTGTTGGTGTTGTAAGTTGACGCGTTGTTACTGATACATAGTCGTAATATACTCATCAAGCTTCTTCCTCCTCAACCTCTGCACCACTCTGCAGCCACGAAGTTGGCCACTCCCTCTCCCTGAAGTGAGGCAACTCTGCAGCATGGGTTTGCACCCTTGCACGGCTCACATATGGCTACGCGTTGACCCGCATCACGTGCTGTGTGTGTGCATGCGTGTGTATGTGTGTGTGTGTACGATTGTGCAGACGCAACCACAAATGAGGCATCTGTGCGTGCTGCGTGGCTTGACGACCAGGCTGGAACCCAGCGACACACGCTGGCGGCGCATTGCCTCACCGTTGCTCATCCGCACCTGCCACCCTCCCTGTTCCTTGCTCCTGCGCCCCCAGCCACCACGGCATCAGGCCGGCTGGTCCCAACGACCCCGGCAACGGCGAATACTACGGCGGCCTCGCGAACAAGGGTGGGTGTGGGCCGCAGGCCGGCAGCATTGCTTTCATCCACGGGGAGCGTGCCCAAGCCCGGCCAGGTTTTCATGCTCCGTGCCGCATATGTGCAGCGCGCTGCCTGGCATGGAGGCGTCACCCGACAGCGGTAGCTGTTCCAGAGCTGTCCGGCCCCAGCCCGCCGCTGCTTGCTTGCCGCCTTCGTGCTCCTTCACATTCAACCGCGCCTTCGATTCCTTACGCGCAGCATGGGCCCCTATCATGGGTTTGGCTACCCTAGTGACAGTCTCACAGTGGTGCAAGGGCGAGTGAGTGCCTTTTTGGGGGAAGGGGGGCCACGGGGGCAACCGGGACGAGGTCCTGGTTTGAGTTGCACCCGGCCCCAGCAAGGGGCGGGACGAGGCTTTTGCCCCGCCGATGGATGTTTGGTGCCCTCCCCTGGAGTCAATGCGCCCCTGGATGCGGTAAATTCAGTAAAGCCAGCCCATGAGTCATTTCCAAACCATCACCCCTACCGCGGCTTCACCAGACCGTCGGCCTTTCATCATGCTCACCCCAGACCGCCCACCCCCAGCCACGCCCGCCCCCAACAACACATCGCAGGTACCGAGGCGCCACCCAGCCCACCCAAGACGACATCGCGCGGATTGCAGGCTTCATTCCGCTGGTGGCCGACGACGTCGGCGGCACGACCGCGACCGCCCAGGCCCTGGCCGGCACTTCCGCCGCCGGCGGCGCCTCGTACGCCGGCATCATCAGTGGCGCGGCCGACGTCGACGTTTTCAGCTTCAACAGCGGCGTCGGCCCGATCTCCGTCACCCTCGCGCTCGCGCCCTCGTACGTGAATAACGACCAAAGCACGACGACCGCTGAGCGCACCAACCTCGACGCGTCGGTCACGCTGTCTAATGCGGCGGGGTCGGTGCTGCAGACCTGGAATAACAACAACGGGCTCCTCAGGGGCGTGCTCGCGCCGGCGTTCAGCATTGCCACCGCTGTGAGTCTTGCGCGGCCTGCAAGTCGCACGCGCACGTGCACAGCATGATTTGACGGCGGTCACCCACGAGCATGCATCTATCAATACACAACACACACACACGCGCGCGCGCGCGCGTGTGCATGCACTCCTGCTGCCCCACGAATATCCACGCTTCTCGCTCCTCGGGATTCAGCTTGTGGTGTCTCTGGCCCAGAACCGCCCCCTGCACATCCACAAGTCATGCGCCACCACCATGCACCGACGACAGGGCACCTATTATCTGACAGTCAGGGGCGTCGGCCAGGGGGCGGACGTCACAACCGGCTACTCCAGCTATGGCAGCACGGGGCAGTACAAGATCACGGTGTCCGCGCCGGCCTGCGCCAACTGCACGACCGGCGGCGGCACCGGCGGCACCGGCGGCACCGGCGGCACCGGCGGCACCGGCGGCTCTGGCGGGACCAACACCACCACGCCCACCACACCCACCACGCCCACCACGCCCACACCGGCCACTGTGACGTGCAAGACGCTCAACGACATCGAGCTGCCCACCACACCCGGCGGCTCCTGCGCGTCCGCCGTCCTGACGACCTCCCAGCTGTTCACCGCCACCGGCACCGCCTTCAATGTGACGCCGCCCCTGCCGGCCAACCTGGCGTTCCCGCCAGGCGAGTTGGCTGTGTCTGGGGCGCTTGTGCAGGGGGGCCTGCATCATGAGCCCACTCTGCAGTTTGCATAGTGAATCACATGCGCTTTGGTGCCTCTTGGGGTGGTTGCAAAGGAGCCGGCGTGTCGTAGTCAGTGTGCGCATGCTAATTGCGGGGACATTTACGCCCCTGGCAGGTTGCATCAGGAGCTCGAATAGTTATTGCAAGGCCAGGGCAAGAGGCCAATAGTCTGGCTCCCTTGAGCCTCAAGACGCGCCACATGCCGGCCGTCTGCACATGCCGGACGCGCCCAGACCTCTCCGACCGCACCTTGACTCCCCGCCTGCCCAACGCCCGCTGCTTCGCACGGCCCGCCTGCCCGGCCCCAACAGGCGACTACAAGTTCTTGGTGGCGGGCAGCGTAGGCCCCAGCTGCACTGTGGCCTTCAGCGTGGAGGCAACCCCCGCCTGCGACGCGGCGGCCGCCGGCAAGGTCAAGTGCTCAAAGGTGAATATCAACCTGCAGGCGCCCGCCTGCAATGGGATCAAGCTCAAAAAGACGGATCTCTACTCTGGAGGCGGGGACGACCCCACCATCTCCAATCTCCCGGCGAACAAGGTCTTCGCGCCAGGTGCGGCTTCCCGCCCAGCCGCTGGACGCCTGCCATGGCTGCTGTGATGATTTCCGTTTGCCGTACCCTGCTCCTCAGCAGGCGACCGGCCACTGGTGTGCTAAGCCCCGCCTGCCTGCCTGTTGCCCCGCCCGCGCCCTGTCCAAGTCCGCTCCAACTCATGATCAACCGCCAACCGCAGGCAAGACGACTGTCAGGGTTGACGCCACTGACGGCAGGAGCAAGTGCAGTGTCCGGTGCGCAGCTCCTCATGGTGTGTCCGTGCCATTTCCCTGAACCGGCACTGCTGCTTGCGTCTAGTATTATTTGTCCAGAGCTTCAGCCCCGCTGTTGCGTGCCTCCGCTTCCACTGCCAGCCGGCTCCGTGCCGGCTGCCTGACGTTGCACCCAGCTGCGCGGGCCATTTCCTGGGAAGCCGCTTGCCCCTCGCGCCCACTCCTGCCGTGCCTGCACCCCACCCAACCCCCAACCGCCAGCGTCAACGTCAAGCCCTGCGCGCCCGTCTGCCTCAGCAACCTCGCGCCGCTGACGGCGGACGCTGGCAAGTGCAAGGCATCGAAGCCCTCTGACCCATTGTCCATCGTCAGCGGCGCCAGCCTGGGGCCCGGCGCGACGGTCACCCTCTCGCCCTCAACGTTTGCCCTCGGCGACCGCAAGGTCACGGCGACTGCCAAGTGAGCATATACTTAGTCAAACTCGGCCGCACCCTCGTCTGCCGCGTGCGCAGGGCGCGCCGCAGGGGCCTGCCCCTGGTCGTGCATCGCTCAGCGGCGGCTGCACATGCGCACTCGGCTGCCGCCTCTCGCTTTTGGTGCCGGGCACCGGTCGTCGTCCCCGTCCCCCCTCCTGCCGGCACCGGCAGCCAGCCGGGTCGTGTCGCCTTCACATTCAATCATGACCGCTGCTCCCAGGTACCCCGGCGGCCTGTCGGCCAAGTCCTCCTGCATCATCACGGTGGTGGATAAGGACCCGCCCCAGATCATCGCCTCGGGCAGCGGCAACCCCTGCGGGTTCCCGCGCTCCTCGGGGGGCACCGGCCAGGCCTGCTTCGGGCTCAAGGACATCGTGAAGGCAAAGGACGGCTGCGGCAAGGCGCCCACCGTCACCGTCGTCGGCTGCAACGCCACCTCCAACGGCGCCAACGCCGACTGCGTCGCGGGCTCCCTGCCCAACGGCAAGCCGGCGGTGTGCGTCACTTACCCGGCCCAGGGCTCGGGCGGGGTGGTCATCAGGACCGCCACAGTGCGCGTGAGGGCCGAGGACACGAGCGGCAACCAGTCGCCCGTGCTGGCGGTGCCGCTGACCGTCTACAGCAGCAAGCCCAGCCCTGTGCCGTCGGGCTGCAAGCCCAAGTAAACCGGCGCTGCGCAGGCCGAGCTCGGGGGGAACGCCGCTCCATGAAGCCCGTCGGTTTCAAGGTGCAGCGCGTGCGGCGCGCCATGATCCGCCGCGGCAGCGCCAATCCAACACCGGTTCTTATGTTATGGGCTGCGCCCCCTCAACCGCTGCTTTTGGCCGTGATCTGCGGTGCGAGGCGCGCCGTGGCGACTGCACTGCAAAATCACGCATTGTTGTGCCGGTTGCCGGGTGCCCAGTGGGCACTTCAGCAATGCGAGGACTCCATTTGTTGTTGGGTGCAGGTGGACTTGGCCACTCCCCAATTGATACCGTGGCCCCGGGCTTCTTTGCGCTCCACTGCGCGGCACCGCCATTGGCTCTCGTCTCTGTCGCATTCACTTGCGCAACCGTTTTGAACAGCACTGCCCAAACTCGCACATGTTCCAGCGGAATCCCATCGCATCAGTCACCACAGGCGCCCATACGTGCGGCCTTGGGTATTGCGCCACCCCCTTGCACTGGCGCGGGGCAACGGCGCTGCGTCATCAAGTGCACTGCGTTTCAAAGGAACACCTGGCCTATTTTGGAGACTCGGTTCGCGCTTTGCCCTGATCGGAGCGCACACACCCGCGCACACACACTCACACACACACACACACGTGCGTTGACGAAGCGGTTCAGAGGGCCGCCTGCCTGGTTGGCGCATGTGGTTTGGGTGGACACCTCTGACCGTCAGAGCTGCCACGTCCAAGCTCACAGCTGTCCATGAAACACCTTCAAACACTAAAAATGGAATGCAAGCACCCGATTTGTTTTTCCACAAGGAATCTCCTGGTGTGTCTGTTGAAAGCCTTGCGCGGCCTGTTTGTGCCAGAAGGCTCCTGCTGGGGTGTAGCCTCCAGGGCAGCCCCGGGTTGCCTTTCACAGTCACCCTGGCTGCTGGCAAAGCGTAATGCAATGTGACGTGCAACAGGCTGCTGCTGTTTGCGGGGCTGCGCCTTTGTGCAGGGCTGCTGGGTCCACGGGCTGAAGAGCCGTGCGGAAAGCTCGCGCCCTAGAGGTCCCTCAAAGTGCCGGCCGCAGGTCCTGGGCCACGCCAGGCGCGTCAGTCCGCTCAGCCAGCACTGCCGCCGCCGCCGCAGCCTCTGCTGCTGTGCTGCTGGCACCGGAGGTGGCGTGCCTCACCCGCTGGTCAAAGCCAGTCAGAGCGGACACCCCATGGGTGCTTGCGCACTGGGTTGCTTTCTTCAAAGTGCATATGCCAGCCTGTAACTTTTGCCAACGGATGTCACCAACGTGCCACGCTCATCAGGCCCCGATAGTGCAGGCGCCGGGTGCCAGCCGATCGCCGTTCGCCGATCCTGTGTAGCGATCCGGCCTGCACCGCTCTCTCCAAGACCCCCTCATTGCGCTGTGGGACCTCTATGAGTATGTTAGATGCTCTTTGTTGCTCTACAAGGACCCAGAACTCACCGAAGCTTGGCGCCCCGCCTGCCCGGCAAGTGGAACCCACAAAGTCCCTGCACGCGTTCGCCACGCCCTCTTTTCGTCACCCACTTGTTGAGGAGAGCATTTCAAGATGAGGCCGAAGGTGCGCAGAAAATGCATGGGCCGCCTTCGTGTTGCAGCTCAGCCCGCGGGCGTGGCCCGCGGCCAGCAGGACACCCCAGCGTGCCAGCGTCGTCCCTGTGGCGTTCCGCCTGACTGCAGCAGCGGGCAAGGCTGCGAGCACCCCGGCAAAGCAGTGGGAGCAGCCCGCTGAGTTGTGCAGCTCAGCTGGGCTGTCGTGTTGGCGCGTGCTGTGTGTCAACAGTGAGATTACATATCCAGGCATGTTCTGAGACCCCAGGCCCCAGCGTGCCGTTGGAGTCAGACAGCGATCTGGGGGCTGAACACCAACTCGGCTTCCGCTTTTTTTTCATTCTCCGCAGTGGCGTAAGAAGCGTATGAGGCGGCTCAAGCGCAAGAGGCGGAAGATGAGGCAGCGCAGCAAGTAGACGTGCAGCGCTGGTGCGGGCTTAGGGGTCGAGCGCATCGGCCTGTGCCCTGCACTTGTGGCGGTGGCGCACGGCAACGGCTGTGCGGGGAGGAACGTTGCCGCGTCTGGCAGCGCAATTGCCTCGGCAGCAGCCAGCACGCTGGGAGCCGGCGGTCCTGCTGTTTGGCGACCAGTGTTGGTTTGTGTAACTGCCTGCAGGCTTGGTTGGCAGGGTGGTGAGGACTGCAGGCTTGGTTGGCAGGGTGGTGAGGACTCAATTGCGGTAGCCGCATAACAGCGTCGTGTACACCGGGGCCAGGGCAGTTGCAGAACGAGCTGAGGAAAGGGCACTGCTATGAGGCAGTGAGCAAAGTCGACGCTGGTGTGGACAGACAATGGGAATGTGAAGGTCGGGATTGTTGTCAAGATGGCGGCTGAAGGCATGGCAGATGCGAGCGCCTTGACACCCGCATATTGCGCTCCCGCCCGAGCGCAAGAAAAAGCCTGTGCTCTCAATGGACACCGCCGTGATGACACGTGATCCTCAGACAGGCCAGCCAGGCAGCTGCTGCTGTGATTTTAGCCGACTTTCTGTGAAAGGCCTCTGAAAGGTGGTGCCTGGACATGAGCCACCTGCACTAGCGTGCACGCACGTGCCTTGAGCTCATGGGCAGTACCCTGGCAGCTGCTGCCGCAAGACGATCCTTGCGTACGGTGTGCCTCAGACCTTTCCTACATGGTAGTCACATTGCACCCGCTAGGACCCTGGTTCGTCGTTTTCCTGGGCGCGCGGTAGTCTTGCCCGGCTAGATCACCGCTCAGTTATGATGGGTTCCGCTCGGTGGGCCTGCGCGCTGCTGCTGCTGCTACTGGCAGCGCACGCGCATGCGGATGTGTCTATAAAAAGCGTAGATCGCAAGGTGAGCATCGATCATCGTGGCACTGGGTGCAACTTGCGGGCCGTGGCTGATCTGCTGCGTGCCTTTGCAGATCAACCTCAAGACACAGATAGCGAGGGTCACGGATGTGATCGAGTTCACTTCCAGCAGCGGAGCTGCCAGCTCGGTGCTGTTGTGCTATCCGAGCCGGCTGGCGGAGCGCATCGCGCGCCTGCGGGTGCGTTGGCATGCTGCGGTGCAGTGGCACGCAGCGGTGCAGCGTCATGAGGCGTGCCACAGCAAAGTTCAGCCGTCTGGTCTGCGGTTGGCCATCAGCCATTGCAGCTGTTGGCGGCAGCCCCAGCTGTCCCGGATATGTTGCCAGCACACTTGAAACGTCGCATGCCGTCGAACAATCCATCAGCAAGCAGCGTGTCAAATCCACTGTCCGCCCCGCCCGCGCCGCATATTCGCCTTGCAGGTGACCGCCGGCGACGCCAAAGCCGAGGCCGTGCCCGCAGCGGCGCCGGCCGGCGCGCCGGACGGCGTGTCCTGCTTCAGCGTGGCCGTCGCCCTGGCAGATGGCGGGTCAGTGTCTGTCGAGGCTGCGGCGTCAATCACCAGCGTGATGACGCCCAACCCCGCCAAGGTCGCCCAGGACGAGCCCATGCTGGTCGAGTACCGGGACACGCTTTACGCGGTGTCGCCCTACAAGATCGACAAGCAGAGCACCACGGTGGGCGGGCGCGGCCCGGGCGAGGCGGTCGCGTCGTGCCGACGGGGGCGCGTGCGCCTGCGCGCACGATCGCGCGCTGAGGAGCATGCGGAACCGCGTCCGTGCTTCACTGCAAGTGGCTGAGGGACGCACTCTGAGCTGATGCTTGTGGCGGCGCAGCTGGCGCGGCCAGCACTTTGCTCCGAATGCTGTTCCGGACGTCGGACGCTCGGCCCGGCCGCAGTACCGCCACGCTCGCGCCGCGGCCGAGGCGCCGAGCGGCCGCCCGCTGCCGCCCGTCGCCGCACGCCCCGCACGGCGCCCGCTCGCTCCCGCGCGGCCCCTACTCTCGCATCGCTGAACCCCGTCCGCCGCCGCCGCTGCTTGCCCGCGCTCGGTGCGCGCCCCCGCAGGTGACTCTGCCCACGGCCAACGTGGTCAAGTTCAGCCCCAAGTCCAAGGGCTCGCAGGATGGCGGCAAGATCGCCTTCAAGAAGCTGGCCGCCGCGGAGCCCTGGACGCTCACGCCCCTGAAGCTGCACTTCCAGCACGACAAGCAGTTCAAAAAGGTGGGCGGTTGAAAGTGTGTGTGCGCATGTGTGTCTGTCTGAGTGCATGTATGAGGTATGTTTGCACACGTTTGTTTGCGTGGGCGTGACTAGGCATGTGTGTGTGTGTGTGTGTTCATGTGTGAGGGGGACACGTGCACGCCATGAGAGGGCGGTGCAAGTAGTGTGGGGTTAGCATGTTGACGTGTTGGTGTGCACCTTTCGGCCTCGTGCATCCCAGGACCCGCACCACCAGAGAGCGCCCGTGCCCCCGCTGCCGCCCGGCCCCGCGCGCGCCCCACCTTCCGCGACCATCCGGCCACCACCCAGCCCCTCCTGCCTCCCCGCTGACCCCTCCTGATGCGTCAAGGTGCTGACGCTTGTCCGCGAGATCGAGGTGTCGCACTGGGGCAACATATATGTTGAGGAGTCATACATCCTGGTGAGTCATGTTGCTATGAAAGGAGGCAGGGCCCCCGTGTCTTCTCTTCACGCACCCACACACCGAGCCAGGCATCACAATCCACAGCTGCCTGCAATTCCGTGGCCGCTTGCACTTCCTAGCCCACGTTCACGCACGGCAGCGCCGCGGCTGGCTCGGGGCCGTGCCAGCTGGCCGCCCGGCGTCCGCCCTGCTCACTGACCGCACCGCCAACTTCCCCGCTGCGCCTGCCCGCCGCAGCAAAACGCGGGCGCGGAGCACAAGGGGCAGTTCAGCCGCCTGCGCCACACGCACAACGTCGTGTACCGCGCGACGAGCTTCCAGGTGAGACCCTCAAACCAACTATGCAGTTGGTCGCCAATGTGAGCGCCCATCCCAGCCCCGCTCCGCCGCCGCCTGCAGCCCGTGCGCCGGCGCGGCCGCGGCGCACCCGCAGCCGCGCTCCTCACCCCCCTCGGGCAGCCTCCCGCCACCCGCAATGCCATCCGCAATCCCCTCAAACAACCAACACCCAAGCGCTTGGCCCGCCC